AAGCCAAAAATTCTCCTGAGTTGAGGCCTGGTTTTGGGGTTCACCTGCAGATCAAGGGGTCAGACACCATGATCCCTGGGCTTCCTCCTTGCCCTAGTTTTCTTGGACAATGAGTTTATTCATGGGTAGTCGTCTCCTCTCCTGGGCCTTCCACTGGATCAGCCTGAACAAGAAAGGATTCTTAGTAATAAGGGGAGACCCGGCCCCCATTTCCCAGAGGCCATGAGCTGCTGACCATTTCATGTCTCCCTGACAGGCTGATAACCTGGGAGGTGAGTAATGGGATGCCACTTACTCAGGCACAGGTCACACACAATAACACCTCCTAACAAACCCCACCCTGTAGGTTTTAGCTCTAGCTGCACCCTCACTTCCTCCGAGGAGTCTTCATAAAACTGAGTCCTGGCCAAAGGAAAGGGCTACTCCATGGATGGAAAAGATGGGAAGGTAGTTGGTAGGGGCTGCCTGCAAAGACTGGGGGTGAGGCAGCAGCAAATATGCCAGTGTTTGCCAGCCCTAGAGTGTCCATTGATGGGGCTGCACCTTTTTCCTTAGAAAGCCTTGGACCTCCCTGTAGCCAAAACAATAACAGAAGGGCTTGAAGAGTCCAGCAACACCTTTCCATCATGCCTGGTTCGTTGGGGGAATCTTTGAGGGGTGAAACCTTATCTTGCTCTCCTGGGGTTTCCAAGGATAGAGGCTTCCCCTTTTCTCCCCCCTCCCTAAGGAACAATTTGATTCTGCAGCCCTGGACATTTGCCGAGCCTGTTCCACCAGTGGGTGGTGTCCCTCTCATGGGCAGCTCATTTTTGCCCCTTTCAGTGTGGTGAGCACCATGGGTAGGGCCAGGGCCTACCCTTCAGAGACAGGTCTGTGTGCACAGTGCACGCAGCTGTAGCTGCAGTAGGATGGTCCAGGGCCCCACACTGAGAACCTTGTGGGGCAGGCAGGTGCAGCACCCCCTGCCTGGCCGAATGCACCCTGGGGAGGCAGCCCACGCACCAGGAGACCAGCAGCATGAGCAGGGGCTACAGCAGCCCAGGACAAGCCCCACTATGGCCAGCAAAATGTTCAAAAAGTAAGAAAGGAAATCAAAAAGAAAAAGAGGAAGAAATGGTAGATGTGGAGAGCCAGAGAGAGAGAGAGAGAGAGAAGAGACTGAGTGTGAAGGAGACAGGAAACAGGGGATGACAGAGAGAAAGAGAGATTAGAAGAAAGAGAGATCAGAGAAAGACATAGAAGGTGAGACTAAGGAAAGAGATAGTGTAAAAAGAGAAGAGGAGGGAAAGAGAGAGAAAGAAAGAGTCGAAGAGAGAGACAGAGAGGCAGAGGGAGAGAGAGAAAGAAACAAGGAGGCAAAGAGAGAAGGAGAGGCAAAGACATAGAGAGAAGGAGAGAAAGAAAATTAAACATATTGAAGATTCTGAAAGCTGTGAAAAATGTTATAAAAGAGAATTTATGCAAGAAATGTATAATTTTTGCTTTGAAGGTTTAAGCAAGTTTGAAATGTTAATCATAAAGGAAATTCTACATGTAAGCATACTGGCTAAAGTTAAAAGGGTATCATTCAATTTTTCTGTAAGCTGGACATTAAAATACAAGCACAACAGGTTTTTCTTAAAGCACTAACCTGCTCTTTAACAAAGATTATAAAAGATCTCTTAGCACAGGCACCACTCCTAGGATTTCCAGTACAACAGCACCAGCCTGGAGACCACTCTACCTCGTGCTGCTAACCACTGAGACTGCTGTTTGCACAACAAAAAAGGGATGGACACATCATGCCCAAGTGAAGAGGGCACCATCACCGTCAGGCCATTGTTCCAGGATCAAGCCCTACCAAATTAAAGCTAAGAAAAGCTTAGTCTATCTATCTTTTCTTTTTCTTTTCTTCCCTTTACTCACCATCTTATTATTAATGTGATTAGATCTAACTCACCTCAAGTTATTACTTTTGATGCCTCTTTAGTTATACCTTGTGGAGAGTTACATAATCAAACATAGCTTACTACTTCAGAAAAATATCTCTGTCCCTCTTGGATTTCCTCAGATTAAGAAGACATAATGAGTTCCTGTAAGGATACTAGTAATCCAAGGAATAGCAGCTGTATTCATTGGTAGGAATCAGACTTTTGTCCCTCTAAAACAGAATCTCTATGTTCTGCTTGGTCTAATATCCTATAGAATACTAGAAGTTTAAGATGGACTGCTTCCACAGGTCTTTGTCAGTCCTTAAAAACATATATCCATTTCACCAAAGGAATTACTCCTTCTAGCTGTCAATATAACCAATGTAATCCTATATAGCTTACTATTGTTATTGCAATATTGGAAAACCCTTCCCCTTCATTAAGTTGTATTTATAGTTCAGGAGCTGACATTTCAGGAAAGGATCCTAAATGAATTTTTGAAATATGCTTTATTGCTCCTTCAACCTCTTTATCAATCACTCCTCCCAGATACAATGACAAAACTAAAGTCTCTGTAGTAGAAGTAAAAGACCTAAGGCAAACCATAGCTATTGAGACAGGGTATTGAGATGCAAATGCCTGGCTAGAATGGATTTATTCCGTCCTCAATCTAAATAAAAGCGACTGTTACACTTGTGCGCACAGTAGGCCAAGGCCCAGGCTGTCCCCTCTCCACTTGGATAGTCCTCTATTCAGAACACAGACTGTATAGTATCTCTTTTCCAAAATCCTACAGCCTAGGATAATGAACTGTGCCAAGCTCTTTCTCTGTTACTTCCTGAAGTTCAACACCCTGCGGGTCAGCCCCCAAGGGCCATACAGCCTCCATCTTCCAAGGCAGAGTTTGCCTCATGTCTCTCATGACAGGGGGAGAATTTAGTGTTCCCTGGAAACTTAATAAGATACAGTGAAGTCAGGCACTTCCAAGAGATGACCTATCAGTCTGCCCTTATTCATCCCTGAGCAGATGTACAGTGGTGTTGTGGAAGACCTTTACTGGACATTCTGACAAATAACTCAAGTGGCACTTGTGCTCTAGTTCACTTCGCTATCCCGTTTACGCTGGCATTTCATCAACCAGAAAAAGAAAAAGACATCGTAAAACAAGAGAAGTTTTCTCTTTTAGAGACTCAGTTAAAACAACTAAGCCAAAACATGTCAAAAAAGTTTGAAGAGAAAAATTATAAAGTAAAAGAGGAGGGAGTTTGGGAAATAGTAAAGTTCCTCTTCCAAGTTTCCTTTCTTGTTTAATAATAATAATAATTAATCTCAGAAATAATAGTCTCTTTTAAAGACTTTCTTCAAAGGCTTCTTGCTAGTAGCTCTTTGTTAAGCCCTATCCTATGTAGCTGTTAGACATGCTCACAGGCACATAGTACATTCTATGTCCTTTAATCAAGATATCTGTGCTGGATGTGCTCACAGACATGTCCCAGCTTGTAGCCTATGGCCCTTTCTCATTTGGACTCCTTTTTGTTCTCCATTGCTTTTACCTATGCAAGGACATTTTAAGTTATTAGCCAATCAGGTTCAGTTTTAGATTGTGAGGTATGGCTCCAGCCAACAAAGATCAGACACAGCAGTAAGGACGAACCCAAATGGGTAAGGGATAAATATGTCTGCTTTTCCTTTGTTCATTGTACTCTCATGGCGAGATGGTTAACGGAAGCACCCTTTCTGCAGAAAGTAAAATTGTCTTTCTGAGAGATCCTTTGTCTCAGTGCTGATATTTCTTTTCGGCACCGAGCATCTGTTTCCAACAATGTGCACGTGCAGACTGCTTGGCATACCCACAGGAGCACGCCTGAGCACATGACCCACAGGGCAGATCTAGGGTGGCAGGGGAGAGGCTCTGTTTCAGGCTCTAGCCTAAGCCGAGGTCCATTCCAGCCTTTACCAAGATCTTGCCTTAGGGGCTGGAAGGTGCCTGCCTGCAAGGGCAGAGGTGGAACTTTCTTTCCCTTGATTTTCAATCCTTGTCTGTCCTTGTGCTCAGGAGGGGTGAGTGGTTAGAGCCCCTGGGACCCATAATAAATATCAAGGTCCTTAAATATCAAAGATACAAGCTTACAAATATCACAGGTCATTTCAAATTCATTTCTAGAAAAACAAATGTATAATTCAAAAAACAGTTTTGAATGATACAAAAGATAAAAATTAAAAAAGCTTATATTACAGAGGAAGCATAAGCAGTTCTATGTGCAACATCTCACTACACGCTGCCTGCAGCTCAAGGCCTGGACTCTGCTCTGGGCTGGGAAAACAAGGCAGACCATCTGGAGTCCTCAGCTCCTCCTCAAAAGGCCTCTGGCAAACCCACACAAGACAGCCTAGTGCCTTGGGCCTGAAGCAGGGTTTGGGACGAGACAGTCTAGAGCTGTGAGCCTGGAGCAGAGGTTTGGACAAGACAGCCCAGAGCTGTGGGTCTGAAGCAGGTATTGGGATGAGACAGCCCACAGTCGTGCGCCAGGAGCAGGGGTTCTCTCCACCCCCCACAGGTACCCTCAGGGGCATGGGGAAACTTAGCACCCCAGAGGGGCTACTGTCTTGGACCCCTTGATGCTGGTAAGAATTTCTGTGGCTCAGGGAAGAAGCCCAAGATTCATCAAACAGCACTGTAGCTGGGCTCAGTGGGGATGTCTGCCCCCAAAGGCCACAGGGGCCCAAGGATCTTTTCCGGGTGCCACTGAAGGGTCCCTAGGGGTGAGCACTCTGTCATGAAGTCTTCCAGCCTGCACCATTCTCAGCTTTCTCAGATCTGCCCTCAGCTATTTCTTCCCCCGTCACCCTCTTCACTCCCTCCTTACTCTACACTTGCTTCTTTCTGTTCCCTCCCTCCTCACTTGTTCCCCTCCTCCTGTCCCTACTTGTTCCCTGCACCCTCCCTCCTTACTTGTTTATTCCCCCTACTCTTCCTCTCTCTTTCTCCCTCCTACAACTTCTTTCTTTCCCCCTCTCCTCCCTCCTCACTTGTTTCTTCCTCTCTCTCCTTGCTCTTCCTCTCATTTCTCCCTTTGTCTCTTCTTCTGTCTTTGGTCTTTCTCTCTCTCCACCTCTTCACTGTTCTCTTCTTGCTGTCTTTTCCACCCAGACCATAGACTGAGCTCCCCCCCACCCAGGAAGAGTAGGAGGCCCAGTTCGGTCCCATTTGGGCATCCCAGGGTTACTGGGTCACCTATCCTGGAGCTACCCTTTGGAGGGAAACCCTTCTTTCCTTGAGCATGGGAAGGCCTCCGCTGACTTAACTGGCCACAGAGGAAGCTCTGCACTGGGGGAACCAAGTTTCCAAGGACTTGACCTGGAACAAGTTTGTTGGGGGCCTCTAGCCCCACAGAAACCAGACTAAGCTGGGTCTGCCCTTCCTCAGAGTCTCACCCTGATGCTGGAGGCCCGCTGGTTTATTACAGGGGCTTGAAGGACAGGGTGGGAGACCAGGGAGTCAGGGCCAGGTTGGTAAGGAGCCCTAGCCCCCCGGTCTGGGGCCTGGCTCACTTGGCTGTCACCAGGATGGCATTACTTCTTGGAGGCCTGCTTCTTCCAGCTGGTTGTCTTGCTGTCCCTCCTGAGTTTGTTGTGAGGCTGTAGCTCCACTTCAGGCTCTCTTGCTCTAAAGATCAAAATAGAGAAAGTGAATGCTGAGGGGCAGGTAGGAGGGAGGGGCTGCTCTTCACAGTGCCCAGAGCCCAGGCCCGGTTGGGCCAATACAGACAAGACCCTCTCCCTTGCATAGGTGAGGCTATCTGGGTGCTGCTCCAACCAGAGGGCCCCAGTGGCACCTGTGATCTTTCTACATGCTTCTAAATTTGATTTTCTATCTTCATGAGAAATATGTGATTTTCATGCCATTCTGAATGCGTGATTCATTTCATGGTTATCATCAGTGGCTTTTAACAGGTGCAGCACGTTTCTTACAAGGAAACAGAGGGGCAGTCTCCACCCTTCTCAGACTGATGGGTCTGGGCTGTGGGGTTCTGCTGCAAAGTCTAAAAAGGCCTCCATCTGCACCACCCAGACCAGTGCAAGCAGCTCTAGGGCAGGCTGCATGCCTACCCAACACTGTGTTGATTAAACGGGCTAGATGTCAGGGATGGTTGGAGATGACTCAGGCCTGGGGGGAAGTAACTTGCCCCAGGCCAAATAGCCCCGAGGTGGCCTGCTGTGAGCCACATTCATTCTGGCAGCTGGGGTGGCCACCTACTTCTTCTCAGCCTCCAGAGGTATCTCCTTCTCCACATAGTCTCCCAGGGCCAACGAGGAGGAGCTTCCTTGGTTATCTTCTGACTCGGCTTTCCTGGCTGATTCAGAATCCTCCAGGCTCAGGACAGAGTTCTGAACACTGCAAGGGAGGTAGAGTAGGGGGGCAGTGCTTAGGGCCCAGGGCGTGCTGCACACTGTCCCGTCAGTGTTCCCAGAGCCTAGAGAGACAAAGGCACAAGTGCTTCTTCTCCTGAGGGTGGCAAAGAGAGAATCTGAACTCGACGGGGACCCAGTGACACGCTGCAGGTTGGCTTCCCTGGCTTCTGTTTTGGGCTGGATTGGCCCTAACCCACATGCTGCTCCAATCCTACCCACAACACTGACCATAGCAAATGCCTGCAGTGGGGCAGGAGGGCTCTGTAAGTGACCACAGAAGAAAAGACAGGAGGCCAAGGAAACGTGTTATCACATGTGGTGTTGTGGGCTGAACACATCCCTCCCAAATACATATGTTGAAGTCCTAAACCCCGAGACCCCAGAACGTGGCCTTATTTGGAAACAGGGTCGTTGCAGATGTCATTAGTTAAGATGAAGCCATAGTGGAAAAGGGTTGGTCAGATCCAACATGACTGGTGTCCCTCTACAAAGGGGAAATTTGGACACCCATGCATGCCGGGAGAATGCCACATGAGGATTGCAGCTCTGTGGCCATAAGCCAAGGAGCCACCAGGAGCCCCCGGAAGGGAGGCCTGGAATGGAGCCTCACTAGCAGCTTCTGGGAGAGCATGGCCCCGCCCACACCTTGGTCTCAAGCTTCTGGCATTCAGAACTGTGAGAAGATGAATTTCTGTTGTTTCAGCCACTCAGTTTGGGTCACCTTGTGGCTTAGGCTGTTCGAGCAGCTATTACAAAATACCGTAGGTAGGTGGCTGTAAAACAACAGAGTTTCCTCTCTATTCTGGAGGCTGGGAGGCCTGTCATCAAGGAACTGGCAGATCTGGTGCCGGGTGAGGACCCACTGAGTCATAGATGGCTGTGTTCTCATTCTAACTTCACACAGGGAAAGGGGCAAGGGTCCTCCTGGAGCCTTTTATAAGGGCACTAATCCCATTCATGAGGGCTCTATCCCTCCACTTCCTAAACCATCACCTTGGAGGTGAGGATTTCAATACATGAACTTTGTGGGGACACAGACTTCAGACCACAGCCCCGTTACAGCGGCTCCAGCAAACACATATGTGGCTACTCCTCACCTTTGTGCCACACCTCACAGCGTTGCAGCCATTCATTGTCAGTGTTTCTGAGTTACAGGATGTTTCTGAGATTCACAGCAGCCCTGGGAAGCAGGCAGCTCTGGGACATTTGTCCCATTTTCCTGACAAGGCCCCTGAAGTCCAGAAAGGTGAGTAGGCTTGTTCACAGGCACATAATAAATCAATGGCAGAGACAGGACTGGCCTATGCATGTACCATCTAGTCACTTGGTCATATTTACTGAGCCTCTACTATACGCCTGACCCTGAGGAGTTTGCAATCTGGTGGGGGGCATGGGCAGCAGCAACTGGTGCTGAAGGAGGGGGCATGGCTTGGGGAGGGGGCCTGAGGAGGCTCTGGGGGTATGTGGCTGAGTCTGGGGTGGGAACAGGAAGTGGGTATGGAGGGACTTTCTGGCAGGGGCCATCCACAAGGTTTAGAGCAAGAAAGTGTGTATGGGCTAAGTCTCTTTTGTTTGTAAAGATCAAGCAAGGTAATAAAGGTGACTTGCTTAAGGCCAGGGCCTTTCAGAAACAAGAGGGAGACAACAACAGCCTATCCCATCATTTCAAGGGCCCTAGAAAAACTAAACACAAAGAAATGCCAAGACAGGGCCTCAGAATCTGGGTGTATGCACAATGATTACATTTGGCAAATTAACGCCTCTTTCCAGCTCCTCACCTCCAACCCGGCTTCACAGGGAACACAGACACAAAACTAAGCTGACCCTTTAAATGCCTCACTTGGAGGCCTGCCTGAGGCTCTTTGAGAAGGGGGACTGTAGAGGTGTCTGGGTCTTTGGTGCTAGCGCCCAGGCCCTGCCATTCTCAGAGGGTGGTGGGGGGGCAGGAGGCTCAGGGTAGGCTGGTGGGCTCCTCCAGGTCTCCCCCAGAGCCCCAGCCCAGGGTGAATGGGGAGGAGGTCCCCGCAACTCTGTTTGGTGTTGGGTGCTCGGGGAGTGCAGGGGAAAAGGCTCAGAAAGAAGTATGGTCCCCCTCATCTAGACCTTTCTTTCTCTCTCTCTCTCTTCCTCCCTCCCTCCTTCCCTCTCTCCCTCTCTCTCTCTCTCTCTTTCTTTCTTTCCCAGAGCATTTCCTGAGCACCTCCTCCCTGAGCTCAGCTCTAGGTCTAAATACCTAGAGTTCATAGCCAGCCCCGCAGTCCCAGCAGTCCAGAAATGTCCCCACCCTAGGCACTGGCCTCCTCCCTGTTCTCCCTGCCTGCAGCTTCACCCTCTCCTATCCAGTGCCATGCCCCGCTCCCCACCAGAGGGTTGATCCTCCTTGATCTGGCCTTGTGTCTCCCACTTAAAGCCAGTCTGTGGTTCCCCAATGCCTGCAGGGGTAAGCTCTAGCTGCTCGCCCCGCCCCGCACCCGGCATGATGTCTGGCTCAGGGCCTGTCAGAATCTGACCCAAACTACGAGCATGTTTTTCTAACAGCCTGTCTCGGCAGCTCCCCCAAATCTACAGCCTTCCTGCTCACAGGTCCTCAAGCTGTACTGTGCCCTTGGCTGCCCTAGCCCCTCCCTGAGTGCCTTTACTTCTCCTTTGTTGGGCCTTCTTATCCTTCAAGGCCAGCATCCCAGGTCCCCTCCTCTGCGAAGCCCTCTGAGCTGTCGCAGAAGGCCACATTTCCTCCACCATCATCTCTGCTTCTGTGCTTATTATGGTGCATTGCTCACAGCTCTGTGATTCTGCCCCACAAGTGCCTTGGGAGGATTTGGTCTCAGCACCTTGGGACCTCCTGTATCTGGATCTTAGCAGGCATAGTGAGTAAACGAACCCATGAACCAAATGATAGGACATCAGAGGACCATGAGCAACTAGGCCAGCAGAGCCACACAGTGTCCCCCTGGGGGGACAGGAACACTCCTGTCCCTGCTGACAGTGGGCCAGGTGCTTCTCTGGAAGACTGATCTAGAGGTTGGCTCTGAGACCATCCTTGCTCAGGGATAAGCAAAGAAGACCATCTGGGGCTTTGCAACAGGCCAGCCCTTCCAGGAATTTCAAAGCCTTTGTATTCGCCACAGTGAAAAGGAAAGTGTTGGCAAGAATAGGCCCTTGTCAGGTGGGGAGCCCACCTCCCCACGGCTTGTGGCTAGCCCACTGTTTCTGAGCCCCTGGTCTACTTCAGGAAGGTAACTTCTCTCTACTCAGCATCCCTCAGGCCCCAGTCCAGAAGAGAAGTGGTTTTAACACCATTTTCATCCATTCTTATCGTCTGCTCCTGTGACAAGCTCATGATACCCTGCTTAGCCCCAACCCAGTGTCTGCCAGGTTCACGAGTCTAAAGCCCAAGTCTGATCAAGCCTCTCTCAGTTCAAGGACCTTCAAGAGCTCCCCATTGCCTGTAGGATCAAATCAGGAAAGCCCATGTCTGCATGCCCTTCCCCTGCCTGTCCATGGGGCTTCCTTGGGCTGAGAGGGGTGTGGGGTTGCTGGCATGAGCAGCTGATGAGGGTGGATTGCTGTTCCTCAGAGCAGCATTGCAGAGGGAGGATCTGGCGGTGGCTGGCTCCTCACTGAACATGGGGCCTGTTCTCCATAGTTCCATCCTTGGAGGGGTTTTGGTGTCTGCAGTGGACAAGGGTGCGGGCCCCCTGCACAGCTGATCCAACAAGACACCTGGTCTCCTCACCCTGCACCCTCCCCACTCCCCTGCCTACCCCCTCCTGCCTCCACCCAGCCTCTTCCTGTCTCTTCTGAGGTGGCCAAGGGGCAGGGGTGCTATCAAGTGGCGTAGCTGTGAAGAGCTTCCCCTCCCATCTGGATAGCATGTTACAGGACACAAAGCCTTTTGAGGCTCACACTGGTGCTTCTGCAGCACTCTGTCTTTATCAGGTCTCATTCCAGTTGGTAGCATGGTCTGCATTTCACAAAGCACTTGACAGTTTATATGGTGCTTTGTCCCTTCGGAAGTGTCTTATGGTTTACAAAGTGCTTTGCAGGGTAGGAGGCACATTCAAGTGTACAGGGCACTTTATGGGACTCGTGGTAGCTTAGCAAGCACTCTGCTGTTCTGGAGAGCAGGCCGTGAGCACGCAGAGCAGTGTAGATGTTTTCCAGTTTACAGGGCCCACTGCCGCTCCCAAAGCCCTTTGTGATTTTGAGGGCATGTGGTAATTTACAAAGGATTTTGTCTTTTACAGAATTCCTGACAGTTTGCAGAGGACCTGTGGTTTACTGGGTGCACTAAAGTTTACACAGGGCACATGACAGTTTAAGGAGCACTTTGTCATCACAGGTGCGGTCATCTCTGACAGCTTCTGATCCTCTCAACTCACTCCTCTGAGAATGGGCCAGAAAAGACTATATCCCCATCCCACAGGGAGGGGACTGAGGCCCAGCAAGGGCAAGGCCAGGTTTGTGGCATCACCTGGGCACACTGCCCCTCCAGGGCATCTCCCTACCCTGGCTGGGTATTCACTTTTCCTTCTCTAACATGGGCGCTCAGGGCCTGGGGTCATCTTTTCTGCAGGAAGCTCACCCACCAGCCTCCCACATTGCCTAGCAGCTGGGCTTGGAGCTCAGGGCTTCACTCTGCTCTCCCCGTCACCCCATGCCAGGCCCACGGGCAGCACCACAAAGGGGCACCACCAGGCGCCTCTACCCCAGACACTTATGAGGGCTCCAGGACACCAGGTCTGGCACATTCCCATCCTGGGACCTAACTGGCTAGCAGGCGAGTCAGATAGTTGTCCAGTTAGCTCCAGTCCTGGGTAGATGGAGACCAGACTTTCTGAGAGGTCCTAGCAGGAGAGTGTGACAATGGAGGGACAAAGCAGAGGCTCCCAGCCCTCGCTGGTCTTGTGTGCTCCAGGACATCTTCCACAGTGAGTCAGGGCCATCGTCCTGACAAAGCTGCCTGGCCACACTCCTCAAAGC